TTGAGGGGTAGTGCCAAGATGGGGCTTGAAGAGGTTTCAGCACCCCCCCCCAGCCCCCAAATAAAAAAAGTAATAAAGCTGCTTCTCCACTTCCATCCTCTCTGCCCCATTACTATCCGCCTCTTCTATATATCCTAGTTCCCTTACCTTCGTGTGTTAGTATGATTTGTAAATGGTCCAAGTCAGACCGAAATGTTGTCATAAACTTCTCTCTCCTGTGTGTGGGCTATTTGTGTAAAGCTGCTTCAAAACAAGTCTAGCATACCCCCTCCCCTTTCCAACTAGATAGCCACCCCTAAGCCCCAGTATAGAAATTCTGGCACTGCTCTTGGGTTAATTGATGATAGCATTAATGAATTTCTCTATACTTTCTCTATATATTTTGGTAGAATTACCGACAATATGTAAAGTAAAAGGACACAAGTGCAACTAATGTGACGTTTTGTTGTGGCAATGTTTCGCTCTCCAGGAGCTTTGTCAACGGCTTGACAAAGCTCCTGGAGAGGGAAACGTTGCCGCAATAAAATGTCACATTAGTTGCACTTGTGTCCTTTTACTTTACATACCTTCTCTAATCATAGCCTTTATACTTGCTACTCAACAGTTGCCCAGGAAGCAAGGGGTTTAGTCTATTAAACTCTCTTACTTGTTTAAAATAAAAATGATATCTAGTACAGTGGAACCTCAAATTTCGAACTTAATCCGTTCCAGAAACTAGTTCTAAATTCGAAAAGTCTGAAATTCGAAGCAATATTTCCCATCAGAAATAATGGAAATACAATTAATCTGTTCCAGAAACCCAAAAATATTTACAAAAAAATACATTTTATAGAGATTAATTACAGTTTTACATACAACAAATGCTATAGTCTTTAATTATGTATAGTAATATAAAATAACATTTTTACTTACCTTTATTGAAGATTGGTGATGGCATCTGGAAGATAGGGAGGAGGAGAGAGGGAGTTGGGGTTATTGTTTGGAAGGAGAATCCCCCTCCATGAGGACTTCTGGTATCAAAGCCCTCTCTGGGGTTGCTTCCCTTCTCTATATTTAATGTCACTAGGACCAGCTGAGAGTCATTGGACCCCAGTCTCACAAAATAACTATCCACAGTCGTCTGTTTCTGTCTCACAAAATAACTGTCCACAGTCCTCTGTACATCCTGGCAAGCTCAACAATCTCACTCCAATCTCATACTTCTGTAAATTTTTTCCTTCTTCACATCTAGGTGTTTCTCACTTTTTTACCCCAGGGGGACCCTAGCAAGTTTCTTTGAGCCCTGGCAGCTTATTTCACACCCCACCAAACACTAAACCAATTAATAATTCGTAAAATGTGTGAATGAGATCGCGGTTAGTGTTCACTCAAGCATAAAGAAAGCTAGACTGCTCACGGCGCCGAAAAGGGCGCGGGGCAGAGCGGGGGGATGGGAGGTCCGTACCCGGGAGGTCCCAAAATAGGGGCGCGTTCGATAATAGGGGCACAGTTTGTCCGAAAAAAATTTTCTTATTTTTGAAAAGGGTTTGATATGTGATCATTCAATTTTTTAGGTTCCACTGTACTGTATTTCTTTCTGCCTCAGTTACTTTGGGTGAAGTATTCAGGTGATTCTAGTTTTTTTTACTTCTCTTTTTTTCGGAAGTCGTTACACAGTCTGTTTTCCCCATTAGATTACAATCATTGATCCTGATACCACCCCCCCTTTTTAAAGACTTAAATGAATCAAACAGTTACTGAATTACTACACTGCAGAACAAACAAAAGGGACTTCTCAGTGCCAACAACAACATAAACTACTTTAAATACAATATCCCAAACTTTAAGCAAACTTTTTGATGACCCCATAGCATTACTAAATTCCCTTACTGCCAATATGTCCACATTACACTAACTGAAACCTGGTAAAGCCTGATGACAGATGTCTAGCCATTCCTGGTTACACAGCCATACACAACAGAGGCACAGACCACAAGGGGTGCACAGCCATTACTACTAGACCAAAATGTATCACAAAACTTCAAAAGAATGACTGGGAATATATAAACCAAATTCAAATCAAATACCTAAAAACCTCTCAATTGATAAACAACAGAGTTAAAACATCAAACAATAGCAATTTAGTCAAAAACCTGGGGAAGTATGATAACTGATTAAACGCATGAACAAAGATCATTTACTCCCCTCAGGGGTTTAATATAAATCTCTGCAAAACCAGGACCCCACGTTACTGAATTCACAAACCAATGAGTAACGTTGTTCACCAACAGTAACAAAAACCTACAAGAGTTACAGGACTGTGTTTCCCTACTTGACCACATCTGGGCCAACACCAATCCCCTTTAAAAACAGGCATAATACAGATTTAAACCACAGACCACTACCCTATTTTTCTCATAACAACTCTTGGTAAATTCCCCCGACATACTAAAGCCCTTCGATTCCCAAAATGGGCGCCTTTAAATAACTTCACACGCAGTAGCAAACTTTGCTGGCACACTGAGCTGAATCTATACAATATTGACAAATTAAATAATTTTCAAAAAAAGCCCAATACCTCATAAAAAGCACTCCCCTAAAAAAAAAAAGATGACAGCTAAGAGACTGAACGTCCCTGGTAACACCCGCTTCTAAACCCATAAATACAAAAACCAATATGAAAAACAGTACAAAAAGGGTCAATAAAGAGACCAAACAAAACGTTCCCTTTCAATCCTAACCAGCTGATAAGAAGGGAAAAAAAAATTGTATTATGAGAACAGGATTATCCAACTTACGAGGTGATATAAAAAAACCTGGAAAACCCTATCAAAATTCTAGGAACAAAAAAGATATCACGAAATAGCGAAATAAAATTAAAGCAAAATCAGATGACCCAACTCCCACCAACAGAAACAGCAAACAGACTCAATGACTTTTTCTCCACTATAGGACAAAACCTTGCCAATAAAATCCCAAGCTCAGATACCCACCAAATGACTCCCTCATGGCAACTACCCGAAACCACTGTTCCTAGCTCCGACTAACCCATACGAAGTCTCCCCTTTTTATCAACACGCTAAAAAACAAGGCAGGAGATTTAAATACCTTACCACCCTTTATAACAAAAAAGTTTTCACAAGTGCTATCAAACCCAAACATTGCCAACACTCTTTAACAAATCCATTGAATCCTCCACCTTCCCCCAGTACCAAAATGCAAGGGTCACCCCCTCCAAAAGGAGGGGACCAAACAAGTTTAAAAAACATAGGCCAATACCCAACTTAACCCCCCCTCTCTCAAAAATCTTCAAAAATTAATTCATAAAAAGAATTACTCCTACTTATCTCCCCAGAAAAATACCAACCCCCGCCAATTTTGGATTTCGGCCAAAAAAAATACAAAAAGATGTATTTTACACATGCTGAAATAATACACTGCAATAGAGAAAAAAGAAGTCCCATGGGGGTTTCATTGGACTTACTAAAGCTTTTATACAGTTAACCATGACTTTCTCCACGTAAAATTTTCACACTAGGTATAAGAGGGCACCCCCCTCAACTCCTCAAGTCATACCTCAGCAAAGAAGCCAATATGGTACAAATGGGGAAAAAACTCTTCTGCACAACCAATTACAGTTGGTGTCCCACAGGGAAGTGTCCTTGGCCCTCTTCTCTTTCTCCTATACATAAATGACCAAACCAAATGCTTCGCAATTACTCAAACCCACACTATTTGCAGATGACACTACATACGTCTTCTCCCACCCGAGCCCAGTCACGCTAGCCAATACTGAAAATACCCAAAATTACAGAAAATATCTACCTGGATGAGGACTAACAAACTTACACTAAACATTGACAAAACCTACTTCATTCAGTTTGGTAACAGAGCTACAGATGTCCCTCTTAACATAATGATAAACGGATCACCTATCACAAAGCTAACAGAGGGAAATTTTAGGAATCCACCTTGATAATAGACTCAAATTTCATACACATATACAACAAATTTCTAAGAAAATTCCAAGACTGTAGGTATACTATCGAAGATACGGTACTATCCCTCCACAGTCAGCCCTCCTGCCCTATATCACTTCTTATTTACCCCTATCTCACCTAGGAATTTGTGCATGGGGCTCAACAACAAGTAACCATCTCAGACCACTAAAATTTCCCAACAAAAGGCTGCAGTTTTGAATGATAACAAAATTCTCACTATAGGCAGCACACTCCACCAATATTCCCAATACACTAAACCTACTCACCATACAAAACATTCATACTTATTACTGCACCTATTACATACATAGAACACTTAACTCTGATATTAACCCTCCCCTCAAACATCTCCTTGCCAACCTCAACAGAACACATGACCATAACCAAGGCACCCGATCACTCTTTGATGTTCCTCGGGCCATCTCACACTATGCAAAAACTCAATGCACTAAAAGGCCCCAAAATATCTGAACTCATTTCCTGTAAATATAAAAGAAACACTACCTGTTTATAAATTCAAGTCTCTTCTCAAAAATCACTTATCACCCAAAACCAAATAAATACTGAAAACTGAACCTTATAAATTGATATCTTAAATGTTTCTCACAATTATATCACAAAAAATGTTAAACCTAAAACCCAATCTAACTTTATTATTTTTTCCCTTAACAGAATACTCCATTCTACTGAATGTACAACAATGCATACAACCATATGACCTGTCTTTGTAATACTCACTTGTGCTTTATAGTAATCTGTTTACATTAAAGTTTTTATCACTGATGTCATCATTGCTTTGTTCATTTTAAGTTAAAATTTTAAGCCAGCCCGTAATGCTATGCATAGTATAAGTGGCTTTGGCATGCTGCTCTTATCTGTATTTTTTGTACCTCTGTATGTGTGCTCAAATTTTTAAATAAATAAATAAATAAATAAATATATTACAGTATCAATACAGTTTTTTTCATATTTGTATAAAATGAGAACTGTAGGCTAAATGTCTTACTGTTTTGTCCTCAGGAGAGAACGTTGGTCCTCGACCAGTCAGTGAAAATTGGACGATCTGTGGCTCGGGCCAGACCAGCAACCAGCAATGCCATCTTTGACTGTAAAGTGCTCTCCAGGAACCATGCTCTTTTGTGGTATGAGAATGGAAAGGTGAGAAACTCAACAGTGTGTTACTGGTGATTTCTTTAACCTTACTGGTAAATGTTTTAATGTGGAAACTTAAACCATATATGAAAACTGTTGTCATATTCTGTTTGGAAGCTGATGTGTATGGTCTTACATACATGTCGTATAGTTTGGATGCCGACGTATCAGAAAGTTTACTGTCAGTTTTCGTCATGCAGACTATGTGCACTCATCTGCTAAAAGTTATAATGTGAACTGGATAGTAGCATTTACAAAATACTTAGCTCTAGTTGTTCTCAGTTTCTTTCATAAATGGCTGCCTTACATAAATAAATATCGTGTTAGAGAATTTACAGGAACACACAAAATTTTGTTGACAGTGGAATTTAGATAAATTAAAATATGTATAGATACGATAAAGTACACGACTCACAGGGAGTAGAAGATCTGCATACGAGTCACTTTGTTGTACACAACTTTTGAAGTTCTTCTTTCTTTCAATGTACCAGCCGTATCCCACTGAGGTGGGGTGGCCCAAAAGGGAAAACAAAAGTTTCTACTTTTAAATTTAGTAATATATACAGGAGAAGGGGTTACTAGCCCCTTGCTCCCGGCATTTTAGTCGCCTCTTATGACTTTTGAAGTTATTAAATAATATTGTAGAAGCTTTAGTAATCAAAACAGATGATAAACACCTTGTAATTATCCTCATATACAAACTTCAATAACAGTTGAATTCGTTGAGCAGATGTAACTGTAGAGAACTGGCTTGGATGTTTAGAAAATTCTGCTTCCAATGCTTATATTTTTCTGGGATCTGTTTTTCTGGGGATTTTTTTTTACCTCATTTTTATAATATAGTATGCTAGATGTGGTCATTATGAAAAATGAAAATCTAATCCAAGACATCACGTAAAATGGATGATTACAACCTCAAAGAAGAGGAAACCAAACATAAATTGTCATTTTGCACCCCAAAGCAGCAACTAGTGTGATGGAATGTTCATTTCATTTACTTTGTCACTTGACTTAAGAAAAGGTCCTACTTAGGCATGACACGCTGTACTTTCAAGTACAGAAGGGAATGGCACCATTTACTCTCAGAAGCACCTCAGGGTATCTGGGAATAATTTAATTAAAATTTTGGTAAATTTAGGTGAAAAGGGAGCAAATGGGTGATAAACAACGAAGGATCTTTTTAGAAGTCCAAGTATATAATAAAGACATGCAAATGGGCTCTTTCAATGACTTTTTTGTAGATAGGTAGTGATGGAAGCCACTGGAATAGAAAGTCATTAAATGGAAATAAATATGAACCATACACAGCCTGGTAAATCGTCAATGCAGACTTCAATCAATCGATTTTTATTTCCTTGCAAGATTACAATGAGATTATGAAATTACAAAAACGAGTTGCAGTGCAAAGAGAGCCACTATCATGCTTAGGAATTATGGGCAGACTTAATTTAACCCTTTGACTGTCGCGGCCGTATATATACGTCTTACGAGGTACCGTGTTTGATGTATATATACAGTGGACCCCCGGTTAACGATATTTTTTCACTCTATAAGTATGTTCACGTGCCAGTACTGACCGAATTTATTCCCATAAGGAATATTGTGAAGTAGATTAGTCCATTTCAGACCCCCAAACATACACGTACAAACGCACTTACATAAATACACTTACATAATTGGTCGCATTCGGAGGTAATCGTTATGCGGGGGTCCACTGTACTCATAAATTCTAGTGGCTTCAAATCAAGAAGGAGAAAGCTGGTAGGCCCACATGTGAGAGAATGGGTCTGTGTGGTCAGTGTGCACCATATAAAAAAAATTCTGGAGCACGCAGTGCATAATGAGGAAAAAAAAAACTCCGACCGTTTTTTTAATTAAAATGCCGACTTTGTGATCTATTTTCATATACTATTTATGGTTGTATTCTCGTTTTCTTGGTCTCATTTGATAGAATGGAAAACATATTATAGACATAGAGGTGATTTTGATTGATTTTACTATAAAAAGAACCTGGAAATGGAGCTCAAAGTAGGGGAAATGTTTGATTTTTGCTCATGTCCAAAAGAGCAGGTAAGAGCAGCATGCCAAAGCCACTTATATGCATAGCATTACGGGCTGGCTTAAAATTAACTTAAGATTAACTAAGCAATGATGAAATCAGTGATAAAACATTATTGTAAACAGATAACTATAAAGCACAAATGAGTATTACAAAGACAGGACATATGGTTGCTTGCATTGCTGTACATTCAGTCGAATGGAGTATTCTGTTAGGTAGTGTATTTAAAAAAATAATAAAGTTAGATTGGGTCCTAGGTTTAACATTTGTGTGATATAATTGTGAGTAACATATAGGATATACAATTTATAAGGTTCAGTTATTCAGTATTTATTTGGTTTTGAGTGAGTAAGTGATCTTTGAGAAGAGACTTGAATTTATAAACAGGTAGTTTGAGGGGAGGGTTAATATCAGAGTTAAGTGTTCTATGTATGTAATAGGTCCAATAATAAGTATGGATGTTCTGTATGGTGAGTAGGTTGAGTGTTTGAATATTGGTGGAGTGTGTTGCCTGTTAGTGAATTTGTTATCATTCTAACTGCAGTCTTTTGTTGGGTAATTAGTGGTTCTGAGATGGGTTACTTGTTGTTTTTGAGCCCCATGCACAAATTCCATAGGTGAGATAGGTGTAAATAAGAAAATGATAAAGGGCCAGGAGGGCTGACTGTGGAACATAGTACCGTATCTTCGATAGTATGCCTACAGTCTTGGAAATTTTTAGAAATTTGTTGTATATGTGTATGAAATTTGAGTCTATTATCGAGGTGGATTCCTAGGAATTTTCCCTCTGTTAGCTTTGTGATAGGTGATCCGTTTATTGTTATGTTAAGAGGTACATCTGTAGCTCTGTTACCAAACTGAATGAAGTAGGTTTTGTCAATGTTTAGTGTAAGTTTGTTAGTCCTCATCCAGGTAGATATTTTCTGTAATTCGGTGTTTACAGTATTGGCTAGCGTGACTGGGCTCGGGTGAGAGAAGACGTATGTAGTGTCATCTGCAAAAAGTGTGGGTTTGAGTAATTGCGAAGCATTTGGTAGGTCATTTATGTATAGGAGAAAGAGAAGAGGGCCAAGGACACTTCCCTGTGGGACACCAACTGTAATTGGTTGTGCGGAAGAGCTTGCCCCATTTGCGTACACATATTGGCTTCTGTTGCTGAGGTAAGACTTGAGGTAGTTGAGGGAGTGCCCTCTGATACCATAGTGTGACAATTTTACGTGGAGCAAGTCATGGTCAACTGTATCAAAAGCTTTACGTAATTCAATGAAGATCCCCAGTGGGACTTCTTTTTTCTCTTTTGCAGTGTATATATGTTCTAGCATGTGTATAATAGCATCATTAGTATTTTTATTAGGCCTGAATCCAAATTGGCAGGGGTTGAGAATGTTTTGGGAGATGAGGTAGGAGTAGATTCATTTATGAATTAATTTTTCGAAGATTTTTGAGAGAGGGTGTAAATTGGATATTGGCCTATAGTTATTCAACTCTGTTTGGTCTCCTCCTTTATGGATCGGGGTGACCCTTGCTATTTTGAGTACTGTAGGGAAGGTGGAGGATTCAATGGATTTGTTAAAGAGTGTTGCAATGATTGGTGATAGTACTTGTGACGCTTTTTTGTATATAAAGGGTGGTAAGGTATTTAAATCTCCTGCCTTGTTTTTCAGTGCGTTGATAATAAGGGAGACTTCGTATGGGTTAGTCGGAGCTAGGAACAGTGTGTTCGGGTAGTTGCCAGTGAGGTAGTCATTGTTCAATAAATGTCCAACTAGCCTTTCTAATATGCAGTCATGAATGGGTTGATGTTATTTACACTATTATTACAGTATTGCAGTAGTCTGCATAATACATAGTAAATCTTCTATTTTTTGTTTGAATAAAAATTCAAAATAGAAAGCAAGAGTAATATCAGAGGGGCCTGGAGACATGACTGATGAACAAAGAAAATGGTATTTTAGAGCCAGGAATGTCTGCATTGTTCATTCTGGACCTTATTTTGAAATTGTCCTATTTTTTAATTTTCGTGAAATTGGTCAAATTGCAAATTTCTGACCACGTTATTGGGTAGTTGAAATTGGTAAATGGGCAGTTTCTTGTACTCAATCGATAGAAAAAATGGAGTTCTAAAGAAATAGCGATGAGTTTGGCCGACTAGAACAATGGAATTAGCCGAAAATAGGGCTCAAAGTGGGCGAAATAGCCGATTTGTAAATATAGCCGAGGTCGCTAACTTCGCGAGAGCGTAATTCTGTCAGTTTTCCATCAAATTTCGTTTTTTGGGTGTCATTACAATCGGGAAAAGATTCTCTATCATTTCACAATTTTTTTTTTTTTTTTTTTTTTTTTGACACCAGGAGACACCTCAGGATTGTGGGTTGTGACAGTCAAGGGGTTAATGGCTTACAGACTACTTAATACTAATGAAATTGAACATCGTTTAAGTTGTACATCTTGTTTATTTATAGTACGCAGTAATTTTACTCAAATTACAATAGTTTCAATAGTAAATATTGAAATTATATTATGGGAATAGAACATTGTGAGTTGTTGAAAGTAGTTTACAGTATGAGAATGCTAAATTGGGTGTAAGTAATGTTTTGGGTAGGAATTTATACTACAACGTAGTTTTAATCAATGTACGAACTTCGGGCATCCCATTTTGAAGTTTTAAGATTTAGGTAATTGGGAGATTTTTTGGTACAGTTAAATATTGAGTATTTAGTTTAGGGTGAGTAAGTGGTTTTTGAGGAGTCTTAAATTGATGTTCAGACTGGGTTACTTTAGTATTTACTGTTAATGAATTTCAAATTTTGGGGGCCCTTTATGTGCATAGAGTTTTTACACAGTGTGATACGGACACGAGGTACATCAGCGAGAGATCTGTTCTTGTGTTATGGTCGTGTGACCTGTTAAGGCTAGTGAGAAGTTTGAGTGGAGGGTTTATGTTTGA